CTGGAACCAACTTCCAAGCAAAGTGGTGCTGTCTCCTACCCTGGGGGTCTTTAAAACAAGGCTAGACAATCATCTTGCTGGGATCGTTTGACCCCAGTACTCTTTCCTGCCATGGCAGGGGGTCGGACTTGATGATCTGCTCAGGTCCCTTCCGACCCTACTAACTATGAAACTATGAAATGAGACCTAGTGCCTAAAACTAGATATCTAACCCAAGATTAAATTTCTTACTACAATTGGAAAGTTCAGATTTCCCCTGCAGTCAAGGTCCAGTAGTGCATCACTCTCCAATACAGATGCTCTCCCCTCTGACAGTACTGAAATGTTTTTAAAGGTCTGATCCATGCCTGCCTACAGTGCACAGAACCTACTCTGATTTGAGACTTTTACAACATCCTTCTCAAGTTCATGGACCCACTTCTTGAGCCCCTTTTGGAGTGCTTGATTAACCACCTCACCTTCAGAATCTCCCTAGGCCAAGAGATACTTCCCCGTATAGCTTGTTCCAGAATGATTGACTGGTAGGGCCTTATGCAAAATTCTTATTCCCAGATGTGGTTTGAGTTGCACTTTTCCCATTTGTATGGCTGCAGGGAACGGGACTAGGAGCAATGGTGTCAAATTGCAGCAGGTGAAACTGTAGTTTGGATATTAGGAAGAACATTTAACTATGAGCGTGGTTAAGCACTTGAACAGGCTGTCCAGAAGGACTGTGAAATTTTCATCCTTAGATATTTTAACATGCATATTAAACAAACATTTGACTGGGATTGTTTAGTTAGGAAGATCCTGCCTTTAGCAGGGTGTTAGACTAGATGATCTCGTGAGGTCCCTTCCAATCCTACTTTTCTGATTCTATCATCAACCTTCTTTGTAAAAGCACCTTAAGATCTACAAGTTAAGTGCTATGTAAGAACTAGGTGTTTATTATGAGTGAACAAATATACCTGTGTTCTTCCTTAAGCCGCTATAAAATTTCATACATGAAGAAAAGAAATCTTCACACCATAAATGTATCTCATACACTTTGGTCTTACATTAACAGGACTGAATCTTTCAGGTTGTCCCCACGTCTGTTCATGATGCTTGGTAGGTAGCTATTTTAGAGGCCAAGACATTTCATCAAAAATGCTAAGGACTAGACTAGTTTCACCTTACACACCTAAGTAGTAGTTTACCACCCATATAAATACCAAACACATTTTGGCATATATGCACATTTTGCAGTTCTACTTACAATGCTGTAGTCAGCATGTATTCCAATGATTCTCTGCAAGCCAGTTTTAAGAATTCTCTGATACCATGGACTTTGAATTGTGAAGGAACTGATTAGGTTTGCAGCCATCCCACCCTTTGTAGCCTCCTCATACAGGGAGATACAGAACACTTGTGCAGTCTCAATGACCGGAGCTATTCAAAATATTCCAAGCAGACATGAAACACGCATGCAGGCAGATCTACACTGGAATCTCTACTGTGGTCCCTGAAAGAGTTATATGAAGTAAAAATACATATGTGGAAATGAAAATTCTAGCTAGAACCTTCTGTTTCTTATGCTTTGTTTTTCAGTTCTTTGATCACCCATATCTGACAATATTTAGTCTTTAATTTATATGTTTTCAGCTAGTCAAAAGAAAATGTGTAAGACAGACAAAGTTACTGTTTTTAACCAAGAGTATTGTTTTATATCTAATCAGAATAATACATTTCCCCGCAACAAGAAAGCAATAAATTAATGTGCAAGAGAGAAACCTCTTAGTCAGTAATATGAAATCATGTGTTTCTGTTTTTGTTTCATTTACCTGGGAGTATTAATCATGAAACACAATTCATCCCTTAGGATAAATGTTTGCCTACAAGATGCAACAAATATTTTAAAAAATCCTTCTTATTGCAACAAATATTTTAAAAAATCCTTCTTATAGGGTAAAGTTGAAGAAGCACTGAAGGCATTTGAAGCCTTAGTGAACAAGTATCCACAAAGTCCACGAGGAAGATATGGCAAAGCACAGGTACCAGTGAAATGGTTATAAATGTAAAACTAATAATCAGAGTTTATCTAATTATGAACTCCTGTGTGCAAAGTAGTCTCTTTCTATAGTTGTGTATAATGGTCTTGATTTTGTTTAAATTCAAACCATTTCTTTTCTGACCACTATCCTAAAAATGAAGGCACTGGAAAATAAGCTTACTTCGTAATAATTTAGTGGCTTGATGTGATGCCTACAAAGAGAAATAATCATTTTATTTTCATAAAGCACAAGAGAATCCCATAGGACTAGGTGTAATAAAAGCCTATTTGAACTTATATCAATCAGAATGAGCAAAATGAAAACATCACAGTAGAAAGGAATTGTGCTGTGCTACAATTAATGAGGCATTTGAATTGGAATCACAACCAGTTTCTCTTGGTTAATAATAATCATTCTAGAACCAAAACACAGCTATCCAAACAGGTTATGTACAGACATTAGTATGCCGTGGATCAAATTCTCTGAGTGTAAATGGATGAAATTTCATGGAGTTTATTGCAGTTAAACCCTTTTATTCCAGAAGATTTGGGTCCTGTGCATAACTGAGCTCCAAAAAATGAACAAATGAACTCCTAAGTTCACTAATGTTGTGTTTAAAACTTTTTAAGTTAATCCAGTATTGCTACAAAATAATGAATCTAGACTGATTGACTTATATATGTTTCTACTGTTGAACTGCTTTTGGTGCATAAAAGACACCTCCTCCTTGCCCTGCTGTTTAGCTAAGCCAGAATGGAACACAAGTCTATAAAAAATAGGAGAGATTAGGGGAAACGCTACAAATTTAGAGGTAGAAGACAGGGTAGAGATGCACCTTATAGAACTGAATCAGAGACGCATAAGCTTTCATGAGCAAATCCGCGCTTTATCAGATTTTGAAGATGCATCTAACCTGAGTGAACATAAAAGGCATATTAAGTAAGACATGCAAAATATAATTCAGTGTTGAAAATGAAATATGTATAGTATGGTTCTTTGCGTGCATACACAGACACACACACACTATAGATATAGCATTCATATATAGAAACATATAATGGATCATGTCATACAAAGTAGAAATGTTTTGCACAAAAGTGAAGTTTTGAAATATTATCTCCTATTGCAGTCTTTCAGTGAGTTTCCATTGTCTTTAATGAAGTCTGATATCACTTGAAAAGTATTATATACATCTAAGTTTGCTTTAATATTTAAGGAGCAAAGTTCTTGGATGCATAGTAGTAAGTCCAATTTTTAGGGGAGGGGGTGTTAGTTTTTTTTCAGAAGAAAGCCTGGTTGTTGTTTTTTCAAACACGACCCATAAAAATTTATAATCTGATATGGTTTAAAAACCAAAGGCCAGATGTTCAGTTTACATTATTTTGTTGATGTAAGTTGAGCTATAACAATAGTGTATTCCAAATCTATAGATAGCAGGGGTGTGTGAAATGGGCCATATTCTATTTGCATTTGGCCCTTATTCAGGACAGTGATTCAATTTATTGATTTGTATCATTGTCCCGATTCAATTCAGCTGAATCCGGATCTGAAGATTCAATGATGATTTGGAGTATCAGTGATTCGGCCATGGACACAGCTTTAAATATTTTTTCTACACACTGTGAGGTACCAGGTGCAGCTCATGAACACTGTGATGGTGGGGTGGATGGAGCATCCCACAGGAGTGTGCCCCCCCCCCCCCCCCGTGTGCTCAGTGGTAAACCTGGAAGTGGACCAGAAGTACTTCAGGTCCACTGGGGAGTGCTCAGCACCACCACCCCCCACTCCCTTGGCTCAGCAATTGGCCATGGGGAGACCCCAGGTTTCCCTCCAGACCCAGGAGGCACCAGTCGCTGAGCCAGGGAGATGCGGGGGGAGGCCCCAGCATGTTTCCTGGCAGACCTGGAAGTGGGCCAGAAGTGCTTCTGGTCCACTTCTAGGCCCGCTGCTGAGCACACTGGAGACCGCCCCCCCCCCCCATGCTCCTGTGAGACACTGCATCTGCCCCAGCATCTCAGCATTCATGAGCCGCCTGGTACCTTGAGGTATGTAGAAAAAACGTTTAAAGCTGCATCTTGGTTTGAATCATTGAATCTTTCCAAATCTCTCCGAATCAATTTGGAAGGTTCCGATTCAGTTCGGAAAGATTAAAGGGTCTCTTGATTTGCTTCGTAGATTCGGCCACCGAAGCAGGACAAATCTCCACCAAATCAAGTTAGCAACCGAAGCTTCGCACAGTCCTAACAGATGGGTAGTGTCCTATGAGACTCAACCTTGTGGTTTTAGAATGTCTTTTATTCATCTCATTTACACTCAAGGAATGCAGTATTAAAAATGTATGTTGTTCTTAATAGATTCATATGTGTATATCTTCTGTGTATGCTGACATACATTTTCCAGGGTAATATGAGTAATTATAAACTTCACTACAGTACTCAAGCAACCAACTAATTCCTCTTCCATGCTCACATGGAAATTTTACAGACTAGAAATTTTAAAATTCATCCCATTAATTAGGATTTATAACATTTACTATTTACACACACAACATATTTTTGAAAATTCTGAGAAAGGTGATGATTTCTTAATAGCAGTTTTGTGTCTCCATGCAGTCTGAGGATGACTTGGCTGAGAAGATGAGAAGCAATGAAATGCTGCAAAAAGCCATCAGTACCTACGAGGAAGTGGCCAGCCTGCCAAATGCCCCTACTGATCTGATAAAACTGAGTTTGAAACGACAAGCAGACAGGCAGCAATTTCTTGGTAAGACAAATAAGGCTTAGATCTATGTGATAAATATGTAGAACTTCTAGGTGACATTTTCAAATGCTGAAAAAAATTAGGAATTCACTTCTATTGATTTTTTCAGCGAGATTTACATTTTTAAATTCTATACATGCATTGTAAAAATCTCACCCTACAATGCTGTTAGTATTCATGTTATAGTACTGGCTACAAATTCATTATCCAAGGCTGGAGGCTTATTGTGCTAAGTGCTGTGCATGAGGACAGTGAAAGAGGGTCCCTGACTCAACTCCCCCCCACTTCCCCCCAACCAGCCAAACAAAAACTTTCAAGCAAAGATAGAAGAGAAAAGCGGTGGTGTGTCTGTTTGGGAGAAGAACTGGAGCATTCTGAAATTAATTGATTTACCGGTGGCCAGGCAGGAAGTATGCTTCGGTACTAGGAGCTGAACTCAGTTCTCTTGTGTCCCAACATAATGCTTCTATCCACAAGATAATCTTTTCTCTCTGGATGTTTCGGAAAGTTTTACTTCTCTAAAGAAAACATTCTGCATACATATTTTGAGGTTTCAGAAGGCTAGTTTGAAGTTGTAGATGAACTATTAAGAGATTGTAACTGTTAATTATTATCAATATATAATATATTATCAAGCAGAAAATCTCATATTATTACCCATAAGCCTTTTGTCAGTTTTGTTTGATTAATATAATATACCTTATTAGCTTCTTCCAGTAACATATTTGGCAGGGTATTACCCCATAAGTTGTGAAGTGTTACTTATCTTACTAATGTGATTTGTTAGACCTCATGGGGGAGGTTTAAAGTAAAATTTTCTAATCACCCAATCAACTGTACATGCAGGGATGATTAGAGCAGGGGTACTTAATCACTGGCGCATGGTCCAGATCCAGCCCATGGAGCAATGTCATCCAGCCTGTGGGTGGCAACATTAATTGCTGCTCCCCTGCTGCCAAATTTCTGGACCCGTGGGAATCCCAAGGCCTAGATAATGTGGCCCTGGATAGGGCCACATGCAGGTGTGTGGAGCCGTTTCCAGGCACATGGGGTCACGTTTGGGTGCACAGTGCTAGACCTGCAGGGGCTGCATTCAGGTTCACAGCATCCAACCAGCACAGGTTATGTCTGGCCACATGGCACCAGACTGGCACCAAGACCTTTATCGTCTCTGTTACCCACCTCTCCAACCTCTCTGGACCCTCTCCAACTTCTCCACATCCTTTTTAAAATGTGGAGTCCAGAGCTTCATTCAGTACTCCACTTCCCATGTCTTGTACCTAATATTTCTATTGATGCAGCCAAAAGCTGCATTCACCTGTGTGCACCTGCATCACACTGCAGACTTATATTGAGTCTATGGTCTACCAAGTCTCTCAAGTCCTTTTTCATAGTGCTGCCATCTAGCCAGGTGTCACCACTTTCATATTTGTCTTTTTGATTATTCCTCCTGAGGTGTAGCACATTTTAACTTCATCTTCTTAGCTGTAACCCAACTGCCCAATCTGTCAAGATCCTTCTGAATAGTGCTTGCATCCTCCAGTGTGGAGGATGCAATCACAATCCTTCCCAGTTTTGCATTGTCTGCAGACTTGCTCAAGAAGCTTTCTATGCCATCATCCAAATCATTAATAAATACACTGAGCAGCACTGAGCCCAGGACAGACCCCTGTGGGACTCCACTTGAAACCTTCTGCCGTTTTGACGTGATCCCATTAATAGATATCCTTTGCTTGCAGGTATTGAGCCATTTATCTATCCACCTAATAGTATTTTTATCTAGCACATATTTCTCCAGTTTGTTTATGAGACAGTCATGTGGGACATTGTCAAAAGCCTTGCTGAAGTCCAGATACACTGTATCCACAGCATTCCCTTCATTCACTCAAGTAGTTACTTTGTCAAAGAAGATCAAGTTAGTTTGACACAATTTGTGTTTCATAAATCCATGCTGGCTGCTTCCTTCTCTAGATGCTTGCAAGTAGCCTTCCTTAAGGTATGTTCCAGTAACTTCCTAGGTATTGAGGTGAGGCTAATCGGTCTATAGTTCCCCGGCCCTCCTTTTGGCTTTTTTTTTTTTTTTTTTTTTTTTTTTT